GAGAAATCAATTTGGCTCACTTAGGCAAACTTGCACCTTTCTCCGAAGAAAAGCGTGGTAAGACATTTCAGGGACTGAGATGAACATTTCACAACATTTAATCAAGAGCGGGTCTGGTTGCAGGAACCCAGAAGACAACTGATGTGTAGCTGATGGCATAACGAAAGACATTATTTTACTCTACTTTTCAAATGTTTAAATTATACTGAATTAACTAATAACTGGGCAATTAAAACTGTATACTTTCATTTTTCTTTGGGAGGGGGACTGCAGTTAAACTGAGGAACAAAGTAATCAACACAATTTGCCAAGATGTTTATTACTTCCAAAGAATACTGTTTTTCCTATTAGGGATTCAGATAGGGTCTCAGCTTTCCCTTTGTTCATCTGAAACATTGTGTAAGTACTGCAAAGTAAGCATATCATTAAATATGCAAAGATTCTACAAACAGAATACTGTATACATTTTTTTTTCAGCATCTGGTTCAAAGGGACCCTTTAGCCCATATTCCATGAAAAACAGCCCGCTAAGAGCTAGTGAAATCAGTTGTTAGAAATTCTCCATGAACCAGGAAACACAGCATTTTATTCTACAGTACTGAATTCAATCCCACCTATTCTTGTATCCCTTTAACAGTGTAATGCACAAAGAATTTGAAAAACAAAATCATATGCTAACAGCTGACATCCCTAGTACGAATGGCAATAAAGAAGCAGGGCTGTATTCCACTGGGCAAACTTTTCACCTTATCAGCAAGGTGAACAGCAGCAGAGGTGTCATTGTGCACAGAGTAAACAATATTTCAAACTTTGAGAAAGCCCATTAATTCAAACCTACACATGCCTGTGAAGCAAAAAGAAAATTAAATGCAGATGTAGCACATACTGCATTTAGAAAAATGAGCACTAAATATTCAATAGCTGTATCATTATACAATAAAACAGCATTCTTTTGCTGTTTCCAAGCCTTTTTTCCTTGCTTTTGTGGTCTCCACCTTGGTCTCAAATTTCAGGGTTCCTCTTAAATCCTTGTCTTGACCTTTCAAAAATTTAAATCACAGATGTTATCCATCTTAAGCCTGCATGTTTATTTCCACTGTTGACTCCTTGTGAATGTAGCCACCCCCTGTGAACCAACAAAACTGCACTTAGCACACAGAAGGATCTGTTTGCAAAGCACTGCCAAAGCCTTCTGTAGCTCTTCAAAAGTAGAAATCTCTAAAATGTCTCAAACAGAAAAGTGAAAAAAAGTGTCCTTGGAAACTATTTTAATGAAGGAAACCATATTCATTTCATTGTATACCATGCTCATCATCTGACTGTGGAAATTACATACAGTAAGTAACATGACACAGTCGGTCCATGTTCTCACAACCAGCTTGTGCATTTTAATTAGTGTTCAGAATTAGTTCAAAATGTCAACTTGACACATTTGAGTGATGGTTCTAACACAGTTCCCAATCATGCTTTCTAAAAACTAAGTATATGAGCACTGCAGCAACTACAACAATAAGTGCTGCAGACAAGGTCTACAAGCTGTACTTAAACTGTATGATTGTCTCAGAATCTAAAAAATACACAGAAACCTGCATATTTTCCAGGTCGCTGTATATTAGGCTAAAGTTTGAGTGCCTTTCTCACAGGGGGGAAAAGAGCTAAGAGCCGTGCTATTGTGTCCTTAACAGCATGATACTCAGCCAACTGGCCAACTAGAGCCCATCCATCCCAAGGCAGGAGTAGACTAATGGCAGCTACAACAGTAAAACGTCAACACTGGGCGCAAACTCCCGTTAATCCCCACATTTCCTGCTGAATCAATAACATTATATGGCCTGAACTGCGCCTAACCTGGCAATAAATAGCTACATCACTTAATGAATTTTGTGCAACACCGTAGCCTGTTTGAGTGCCTGCTTGCGAGCAGGCTTTTAAATAACAGGTTTCGCCGTTCAACAACACAAAGAGCTGTTAGTGTTAGTGCACTCCCAACACCTGTTCACGCAGTGCACATGGTGAAGCTCGTGTCTCAATCCCCTATGCACAGAGCCCGCAGTGTTGACGGCGGCAGCCACATCCCAGCCGACACCGTGTACTTGCTCGCACATTCGGAAAAGAGAAGACGCCGCCACACGTCTGGATAAAACTCGCCTCTTCGGTTTAATCATTTCCCTCTGCTTTTTTCCAGGTTTTGCCCGGGGCCCGTTAAGGCTGTGCGCAGATTGAGAGCAGCAGGTGTAGTGTGTCCCTACCCCCAGTCCCCGCCCTGCAAACTTTCAAGCGCAGCATTATCAATCAATCAACCCTTCAGCACCGACCCCACCAAAGCCTGCACCCAGATAAAAAATACATCTTTTCCAATTTATCCCCCAAAAAAGTGCATCCCCCCCCCAAAGTAAGGAAAAGCGGACATCTTCCATCAGACATTACAGCGTTTCCCTATTTTTTTCCGGGAGGTGGGGGGTAGCCAAGCTAATTTCACACCAGCCGAGTCCTTATCTCGCTAGTATTTTTTTTTACAAAACTACCAGCTAGTTAACAAAATCAGGTTTGAATAAATATTATCCTCTTGCTATTACTGTTTCAAGTGACTGTATTGGTGCAGAATGGGATAGGATCTGAGGGAATCTGTTAATTTCAACAAGTACTGTACTTCCATCTTTTAATTTCCAAAGGGGCGAAATGCAGTATTTTTTACGCGTGGAAACTCTGCTTGTGCGCTGCCTCAGGAACCCCACCTAGAGCGCAGCGCGCCTACCTGTCTCACAATGAAGCCCTGACCCTATTGTTTCTCCCTTTTTCGTTCTCGCAGATGGGTTTATCGTTTCACACTGCGCAATCCGGACCCGTCTTCGGCATAGCTAATGGATTGCATAGTTGATGGGTTTTTTTTATATATCATTATTTACCGCATTCCCTCCTTTTACAACTCCCGGCTCCTTCTAGGCACCAACTCTCTCACAGCCCACCGACCCAGAGCCACCCGCCCCCTCTCTGTCCGAAAAACCGACTGGTTTTCATGCAACTGCAATTCTATCCAACTGAAGACAGACGCAACACGGCCCCTTTCCTCCACCCACCCCCGTCTACTACCATAGTAGCACTGCACCGTAGTACAGTACTTCAATAGGTCCTGCCCCGCAGACAGCGCAATCTGTATAATCCACCATTTAAACGCGCGTAGTAGGTCTGGCTCCCCTCTCCCCTCGCCGGATGAGGTCGGTTACTAACTGCACTGACATTAGCACAAAGCAACACGCTCCCAACGCATTTTTTAGCCTCGCTTTTATCCTCTTAAACCGCAAATTACTGAGCCTGGTTTAACGTGGAAATTCCTAATCCGAGAATGCTTTGCGCGCAACGAATCCTACTGCAAAACCATGTCTTCAGGGGCCACCCCACCCCCCCCCCTACAAAATCATCTCTTCGCCAACATGAAGTTAACAGAGCGCAATAAAAATATGCAGACCACCCTTCGCATATTCTGCAGCCATTTAATTTGTTTTTAGTTTTTTTTGGGGGGAATGGCTGCAAGAGATAACGAATTATGCCTTGGAATAATAAAAAAATAACGGGATTATTCCCGCCCAAGGTCCCTGCATTCCGATTGGATAGCTCAGCATTTCAACCGACTCTAGAAAAGCATAGATGCGCACGACTGCCATGAGCTACACAGCACAGATGCAGCCCTTTGAACCGATATTTTATGGCCGTTTTCTCTGCGTGAGAAATTCCCCTGATTTACGCCTACTAACTGTGTTAAAACATTATTTGTAGAGTTGGGGAGTTGCTCCGCTGGGTTACACACGCACACGCCTCCAGGAATACTTCGCCATCCTCATCGCACAATGCAATTCAGCTCCCCAGATGCTATTTCTATGAATTACGTCTGGGTTATTTACCTTTTTATAACGCGCACGGTACCATGGCACAGTACCCCCGATTTGACGTGGCAAGCAAGCCCCCCTTCCCATTCTACAATAGATAAATATAACAATTTCTTGAAATCAATGTCCCGTTACACGGGGGATCCCCTCCTGGATTGCTACGGGAGTGATGAATGCTACTGGATAGATGCGAGAGACGCCACTGGATCCTAACCGCGCAATGTACAGTAATTCCGCATCTGAAAACACGGCGTCTCCTTTTCAAAAACTGCGCTTCACAGAAACGCTCGCAAATATAAAGAAAGATAGCTGCTTTAAAAAGGGGGCTGGAAGAAAAAAATAAATGTCTGTTGCAACTTATTTGCTCTGATATACCGAAATCGAGCGTTGCACAGAAAAGGAGACCGAGATTGAATAAAGACGAATTTGATCTGTCCGGATATCAGCTCAGATACAACATGCTCTACTGCTTAATTTTAAACCACCCTCTTGCGATACCAGTGCATTGCGAACTTAAACTTCAGGATGTTTTCTTGCCCTAATCTTTTGCGCCTTAAGGATAAATGCGTAAACCTAATTCAACCATATATTTCTTTTTCGGACTATATATACTGCACGCCATGCATGCTCATAATTTTATTTCAATTAATCTCCCACACATGAGCCAAATCCTTATTAACAGTGCAAAAGCTCGCTGCCAAGACCTGGCTCCCACCTAGCCAAACCGGACAGAGACGCAACATTTGTTGTACAAATATACTTCAATGTTACCAAACATGCAAAACAAAACAAAACAAACAAAAATAACTCCAACATTAAAACGGCAAAGTCGGTTTTTGAGGGCACGCATCAGGAATTAACTGAGCTCAGTTCATCACTAGAGCACGCATTCAATGAAATTATAAGAGAATAACGTTTCGGTGAGCCCTGGAAAATTCAGTCAGGACAGCTCCCGTCTGACAATAAATCTGGCTCCTGAACACATTGCAACTTGGGTCTATGAGATGAAGGGACGCCAAGTGCAACTAGCAGGATATCTCACAACCCACAGTGAAAACTAATTGCAAGCGGGTACTTTTTTTAAAGAAAAAAAAACACTTAAAAAGCAAACCTTACCTGCACTGCCAAAGAAAAGCAATGCCCAGATGAGATCCCTGGTTTGAAGCATTGCAATCGCTAGATAAGTGATGTTTCTTGCTTTATAAAGGTATGTTCCTGTAAGAAGATGCTGAGGGTTTTTGGTAGGTGACTTTTTTTCCTATATTTCAATTTTTTGAATATATATATTTTTGCACACTGCTCCTTGGCTGTTTTCTGGGTACGCTCGCACGCTGCGAAGAGAATGAGTGACAAGAAGCAGCCTCAGCACACACAACATGAATTAATCCGCCTGGGCAAAATCACTCGCTCTCACTCGAGGGGGGTACTGGGTATACCTCCACATGCTCGACAAATAGTGCGCTGAGCCTTCTGCGGCTAAGTACATAGCTCGTTGCTGCTGCACCTCAGAAACAGCAGATGGTGCATTTGGCAAACCCTGGCATGGATCGTTACCAGAATTTGGAGTAGGATTCAATGGAGTGAAGCCCTGGAACAAAATTCGTGATATAAATAAACGTCGTGCATTGCAGCTCTGCTTTTTCTTAAACGACCAAAGCCTTTCAGGGTTATGCACTCCTTAGAAGCAATCTGTTTTACAGTGAGAAATCAAACAGGCCTGGATTGTGTTTTTCGGAATTTTATGCGAAAAAAATATGGAACAAGCTGCCCATCCACGCTGTTGTAGCCGATACGCTGTGTTCTTACTGGATGAGACTCTTAGTTCAATTAGCTAATGACAAAACAGAAGGATTAGACAGACCATCTGACCTGCTCTCCTTTGCAATATTCATAGGTTTTTTTTAACTTATCCTTTCAGAATTATCCTTTTAGAAGCAATTAAGTATATAACAGGTTGTCCACTTGTTTCCTACTTTAAATCCAAATCCGTAATTAATAGCGCAATGTATTCAAAACATTTGGGTGCTTAAGCATAAGTATTTTGTTTATAAGGCCTCTAAATTCTTATAAAAGTCATCTTTTTTTTTGTTTGTTGTTGCTTTTGTTGACACACTTTAGAACAATGATTCTCAGCCTGAGATCAGTTTTCAGGAAGGTCCTTCCTGGGCCATTTAACCAGTGTTAACAAATATTTACTTAGTTCTGATGGGTAAATTCAACTTTTCAAGGACGAGTTCCTCATAATATCACAGTTATGCGAGAGGAAACCTGTCTGCTCCTAACAAAAGGCTTCCTTTTTTACACAGAGTGAAAATTAGATGACAAAAAAAAAGTGGAATTGCAATGGAAACTTTATAATACATCAGTGACTGCCACACACTGATGAATTAATTCTAGATACCCCTAAAGCATTATCTACCCATCTCAAAGAACATTCTCATTTTAATTATTTTTTACACTTTTATTGTGATGTATTCATTAACAAAAAACATGTGTTTAAATAAGAAATAATGTTCACCAGTATTTGCAATCATAACAACTGAAGCACACTATTCCCACAACAAATTACAGTAAACATATACTAGTATAAAGCATGTTTAAAAATAACAGAGATTTTGAGTTAACAAAAAACGTAATACAGGGAGAACAACTAGAAAGGGTTATTGGATTTGAAAAAGTGCCTATAGACCTGTAAGCAGTCTTCAATCTTCCTAACTTTGTGAAGGTCAACACTCTTGCTACAGTATAGCAAAGAGCTCAGCTTGGAACATGAAAAATAACACTTTTCATCTAAAACATCCCAAACTGCACTGAGGATCCCAGTAATACAGGGAGAACAACTAGAAAGAGATTTTAAGATCTAAAGCTGACCAGTCTTCAGCTTTAGATCTTAAAATCTCTTAAAAATACAGACAACAATCACTCTTTCATTTTCCTTATTTTCTCCTCTTCTATAATTTTCTAACAATAATTTCCCCATTATATGGATAACGTTTTTGCCATAAAAATTGCTTCTCGTACTGCAAACTGTTTTACAGTTCCCAAGCCAGTAGCACTGTTAGAAAATACATCAGCAGTCTGGGTAGTTTCTAATGGACGATATTTGAGAGAATAAAGATGCAAGATACTCACAATATGACACCGACTCAACTAACACTGATTGGCTTAAGACGGATTTTTAATATTTGAGCAAAAAAAGTCGATCCAGCAGCAGCCATCTGTGTTTGCCAGAAACTAAATGGACTCAGGCCTCAAGTGAAGAAGTAGTAAAGATTTCCGCCCAAGCGCAGGCTGAGCTTTATGATCTTGGGCTCAAGTCTGGCTCATGTCACTAGCCGACTATGACTGGCAAAGCCCCCAGAACACAGCACCCAGCCAACTAGGGTGATGTCGGCCAGGGCACTCCCGACTCCTAGTGACCCCTGTGACTGTCTGGACTCTTGCAGGTTTGCAGCACTGTGGTGTCAAAACACATTTACCTCCAATGTGGGCAGATTTCTAGCTACATTGTCTACCAAATTGAACATTACAAATGCTTGTGACTGGACCAGTTACCATCAATTATGAGTGGTTCAGCATTTTTTGGTAGTTATTTGATCAGCAAAATGCCTTTCTGTAGGGTAACTTACAAAATACTCAAAATGACATAAAGATACATAAAAAAGAAATGTTTCTACATTGGACAAAATAAGTAAAAAATGAAAAGTGACAAATAACAGTGAAGCAGGCACACGGTACAAACGTAATGCTTGTGCAGTATTGTATCAACCTATAAAACAAGTACAAGTAAGGAATCACTGATTACAGTAAAGAATAAATGCCTTTGATGGTAATGCAGTATAAGTGGATGGTAAAAAAATATTGTATAACATAACGAGACAGAGAGAGAACAAAATGCGTCGCCTGAGATTAAACGTTACTGATTGTTCATATACATCTATTTTGCAATCCAATTGGATATGCAACCTGGTGACCTAAACAAGTTTAAGCAGATTTGACCTTATTTGTATGCCACAGAATTGTATAAGGTAGTGAAATTTAGTTTTAATCTAAAAACATTTTTCGGTACATATGTTAAAAAAGCAATAATGAAATGTAGTCAATTGTAGTGTCATTGAGTTTGAAGTCTTCTAGTGACAATTTGAATTAGAGGTAGGTGTATAAACATGTGTAGTACTCATAAGTTTGGTAACTTCGCATTGCCATGATATGCATTACAGTATATATCCTACATTTGCATTAGACAAGGTAAAAAAAACAGACAGTATTGACATTTTCTTGATTTAAAGAATGGTAATACAGTTGGTTGTCTATTGTTCTGTTGTTTTTCAAACCAACTAAATTAAGAAAAATTATAATATTTCAGTCAAACGAATGAGAGGACAGAAAAGTGGCCTTTGGCCTTTTAAAACCTAATTTGAGCAGTAAGTTAATTAAATTAGTCAGGATTTTTTAGATTAATTAAAATGGCTTGCTCTTCTGTGCTTCAAACATAAAATGTTAACTTAAATGAATGACCATAATCCCAGCAGAAATTACTTTCATTTTAATTATTACAATTTTAAATGGACATCTGATGTGCGGGCCTTATTTTCAGTAATTAAAAACTTGAGTCCTTTGTGTTCAATTTCCTTATTTTAAATTTGACGTGGTCTACACTGAATCTGTGTTGTCCATTATGTTATGCATACATTTGTTTTGGATCGTGTCTTTATTTTGCAGAACTACAATGCCAATGCATGCTTTGTGACTTTGCCGTAAGGAATGAGAACTACTGCACTACTTTGGCTCCTCATATTTAAAAGTTCCCCAGTGACTTCCTGGCTTTGCCACTGGTGTTTGAGTCGGAAAACAGAAAGTGAGTCAGGGGAGTTTGCAGTGACCTGCGTACAGGAGGAGAGTGGGCCCATGGTTGTGCTTGAGTTAGTGGCTCCTTAGCTATGCAGAAGCTCGTACACAGGAGGAAAGCTTTCTTCCCAGAAGGAGATGGCAGTGCTAGCATGGGAAATGGTGAAAACTAGTGACACTAGCTATCCAGCTACAGTATCTACAGACCACGTCTGGTCTTCAGGAGCGCCATGGGAGCAAACCCTGTAGTAGGCCTTCCTAGAAGCAGGGAGAAAGAGTAGAGCTGAAGAGAGCTGTCATGCCAGCTTCTGGCTTTGTCTTCAGTGGTGGTCACACCCCTAGCTGCTATGTTGGAACTCCGCTATTGGAGTAAGGCAATCACTCCTAAAGAAAATGGTGTTGGTCTGCCCACTATTACGGTGATGTGAGATGCAGACAGGGAGTCAAAATTTGGCCTACACTAAAAAATAACTTGGAGATTAATAACTTGGAAATCCAGGCCATACGAGCAAGCTGGCTTTGTCGTTCTCCAGGGGTTGTCTGTGTGACATTGGCACTTGGCAGAATGAAAAAATCCAGCTTTATGAGTGAAGCTCCAAGCGATTGGATGCCTGATTGAGACTTTGGAGGAACTGATGCCGCAAAGAGGCCTGTGGGTTTTGTAGTGTATTGTGGATCCAGATCCCTTTCCTGACATGATAGACCCTTTGAAAATGACTTTGGGACTGTGACTGTTTGTCATATTTGCAGACCAAGAGAAGATATTGCATCCTTAGGAGGGGCCTTACTAAGTAAGATAAACCAAATTTCCCATTGGCTCTTACCAATCATGACCTCCTAATAATCCCCATCTATGAATTGGCTTCATTTGCTCTCCTCCCCACTGACAGCTGATGTGTGGTGAGCGTTCTGGAGCACTATGGCTGCCGTCGCATCATTTCTTGTAAAACACTTTGAGTGGAGTGTCCAGAAAAGCGCTATATAAGTGTAAGCAATTATTATTATTATTATTATTATTATTATTATTATTATTATTATTATTATTATGGGTCTTTTGGGGCATACATGCAGAATGAAGGATGACAATAGTGAAGGGAGTAATTTCAGAAAAGGAGGAAGAAATGCAGAAATGGAGAAAACCAGCAAGAAAATGGCTAGGAGAAATAGATGAGCGGTGCAATGAGAAATCTCACAAATCATTGAGCATTTCAGAAGAGATTAGAGAGGTTTAGAATCCATCGAATGGGTGGAGTGGGGGAAGCTTGCATTGAGCACTGGGAAGACTATAGAGGTCAACTGATTGATTAAATGATTCATTGCTTGGGAATGGACAGAGGTCTGTAACACGCTGTGTAATATCTTGCAAAATGTTTCTAATCCAGTTGCAAGGTGGAGATACACAATTAGAGCAGAACCTTTTATAATTGAGTATAAACAAATTGAACACAAAGAGCACAGAGTGTGCATTCCACTGTTGTGTCATTCCTCACAAGCACTGTAGATCTGCACTTGTCATTTTCTTTGAAAGCTTTAATATTGTTTCAAGCACATTTCCTTTTCCTATAAATAGGAA